TTAGTACATTTGTCACATTTTCTGTGTGTACCCTGACACATAGCAGGCATCACTGAGATCTTTGGTGAATGAAAGAGTGGATGTAATGCTCCTGTATGCCTTGTTGTTGTTGTTATGTGCCGTCGAGTCGGCCTCAACTCATAGCGACCCCTCCTTGGGTTTCCGAGGCAGTATCACTACGGAAGTAGGATTGCCCAACCTTCCTTCTGAGGAGTGGCTGGTGGGTTTGAACTGCCAGCCTTCTGGTTAGCAGTCAAGTGCCTTAGCCACTATGCTACCAGAGCTCCTTTTTTTATATTAAAGGATAAATAATGGCTCTATTATTTTATATGTTGTTGTTGTTATGTGCCGTCGAGTCGGCCTCGACTCATAGCGACCCCTCCTTGGGTTTCCGAGGCAGTATCACTACGGAAGTAGGATTGCCCAACCTTCCTTCCGAGGAGTGGCTGGTGGGTTTGAACCGCCAGCCTTCTGGTTAGCAGTCAAGTGCTTTAGCCACTATGCTACCAGAGCTCCTTCTTGTTGTTGTTGTTATGTGCCGTCGAGTGGCCCTGACTCATAGCGACCCCTCCTTGGGTTTCCGAGGCAGTATCACTATGGAAGTAGGATTGCCCAACCTTCCTTTCGAGGAGTGGCTGGTGGGTTTGAACTACCAGCCTTCTGGTTAGCAGTCAAGTGCTTTTAGCCACTATGCTACCAGAGCTCCTATTATTTTATATTGTTGTTGTTGTTGTTATTTGCCGTCGAGTCGGCCCTGACTCATAGCGACCCCTCCTTGGGTTTCCGAGGCAGTATCACTATGGAAGTAGGATTGCCCACCCTTCCTTCCGAGGAATGGCTGGTGGGTTTGAATCGCCAGCCTTCTGGTATTATTTTATATAGCCATTAATTAACCATTAAATGTAAAACTGGTTCAAAGGATCATCTGAAGAGCAGACACAAATAGACAGCCAGAAATATGAGATTGAATATGCTGACAGATACAAAAAATAGTCAATATCTGCACCATAATAATTGCATCTTCACTTGACAAAAGGTACTTGCCTCTCTGTGGACAAGAAACATTTGGATTAATATCAGCTCTCCACCAGTTAACTTCTGTCTGTACAGAGTTACAAAATAGAATTTATAGACTAAGCTGTAGACATTTCAAGTTACAGAAAGGAGAAATTAAAAATTTAAATAATAGAAAACAGATAAAGAGGTAGTGGAAGGCTTCACTATGACTTAAACTGATTTTCCAGTTGCTTGTAATATGTCATGTCATCTAGCAGAGCTTTGCAAATAGTATTTATTTCTTCTTGAAGTCAACTTCTTTCCTTTCTCTCAATTTTTCACCATGTTGACTGTCCCTTCACTCTACCTCCTCATCTGTTCCATTTTCACTCTTTAAAAAAATAATAAAGCATCTGCACCTAAATATATGCCATACTATGACCATATTGGTGTTCATTTCAGGGAGTTTTAGTTAATATTTTGTAATGAATGTAATTATTGACTTTGAAAGTTACCCATTGCACACTTGTTACTGTGAGATTTCAATTTAACCCTGAAATAGAAAGATTTTTTTTCTCTGAATATATATGATATACAAAGTGCATTCACTGGTATCTACATCTGCTTATTGTCCTTATAGTTATGAAAATAAAGGTGAAGAGAGCATACATACCCATCCAAAGCTATAAACAATTGTATTGAAAGAATTCATGTATTGTTCAATTTTCTTGTGTTGGGATTATTTTTATCTTAATCATTTGTATTTTAGTTTATGCCTAAATTAATGTGCAACTCTACAATAATGATATATCTGATTTATCAATCCAGATAACAGTGTGCTGTTATTTGCTACATAGCACCATCCTAATGGGGCCCTGGTGGTATGGTGGTTAAACATCTGGCTGCTAATCAGAAGGTCAGCGGTTCAAACCTACTAGCTGTTCTGTGGGAGAAGATGCAACAGTTTTTGTCTATAAAGATTTACAGCCTTGGAAACTCTATGGGGCCGTTTTCCTTTGTCCTATAGGGACACTATGAGTAAGAATCAACTCAACAGTGACCAGTACCATCGAAAGAACTGATAGTGCTTTCGTTAAATAAGCTGCTATTTTTCTGTTGTCAGAGTGTTGATTAAATTATTTTCTGCGTTACTTTTTTTTTTTTTTTGTTTATTTCAACAAAGTAATGTAATTAGAAGTCCCTAAGTAATTGACACACATATTCCACCGAGTTTTGGACATCATTACTTCATACATATTCTTACTGAAGTTCCGAATGTACCTTGATAAGTATTCAATAATGATACTGATTAGAAGCTTTTTTCAGCACAAAGCTTAACACCTGTGGAAAGGAAAGCAGTGTATTAATCAGTTTTACTTCTGTTTCTAATTCTGCTGTGAAAACTCATCATAAGATACACTGTTAAAGAGCTGTTGTTGCTAGTCGTCATCGAACTGGTGCCGACTCATAGCCACTTCATAGGTAGCAGAAGGAAACGTTTCCTGATCCCGCACTGGCTCCATGGTCTTTGATGTGTTTGAGCCCATTGTTGAGGGTGTTGTGTCAGTTCACCTCACAGAGGGTTTAACTTTATCCCTGTGTAAAAACGGAGGGAAATCTGGTCTAGCTTGTTGTTGGTAGTTGCCATCCTACTGATGCTGACTCATGGCCACCCTATGTGTGTAGAATAGAACTGTGCATCATAGAGTTTTCAAGGCTATGGTCCTTTAGAATCAGATCATCAGGCCTATCTTTCAAGGTACCTCTTGGTGAGTTTGAACCACCAACCTTTTGGCTAATATTTGAACTTAACCATTTGTGTCACCAAGGGACTCCTCTGGTCTAACTAGCAAATATAAAAATGAAATTTAAATGTGCTTGTGAAGCTTAAATTGTGATATCATGATTTAGGATGGTTGCAGGAAAAAGAAAAGGGTTCACAAAAATGAAAAGTTGGATTTAACAACAATAACAAGATGTAATTGAGAAGCTGTGGTATGTGCAGGCAGCATAGAAATTAAAGCAGCTTTTGTGGAAGAAAATGAAAATGAGACATTGCAAAAGAGAAGGACATCTGTTCTCTTTTCTAGTTCTAATTCTTGATAAGTTGTGTGACCTTTAGGCAAATTAAAGGAGCCTCTCTTGGTCTGCCTTCAGAGTCATTGTGGGGCTCATTAGATTCTGAGCTGCTTTCTGGCAGAAACTAGATCTTATTCAAACTCTGGATCCCCGTCCCCAGCCCTGTGTGTATGTAAAAGTGCCTTTCAAGTTCTCTACAAGTATATTTATTAAGTTGTGTATGTATTGTCTTACCTTGCGTTATTTCTTAAATAGATAGTCATGACTTTAAAAAGTAGAAACAAAAGAATCTTAGCTCTCTCATACTTTTGTTTGTTTTGTTTATTATTTTATGCCAAAAATTAAATGGAAGATCCCTAGCTGGCATAAAGGAGCTCTGATAGCATAGTGCCTCAGGCACTTGACTGCTAACCAGAAGGCTGGCAGTTCAAACCCACCAGCCACTCTATGAAGGAAGGTTGGGCAATCTACTTCCGTAATGATTGTTGTTGTTGTTGTTGTTATGTGCCATCGAGTCGGCCCCGACTCATAGCGACCCCTCCTTGGGTTTCTGAGGCAGTATCACTACAGAAGTAGGATTGCCCAACCTTCCTTCTGAGGAGTGGCTGCCTTGGAAACCAAAGGAGGGGTCGCTATAAGTTGGGTCCGACTCAGTGGCACATAACAACAACAACAGCTGGCATAATGCTAGGCATATACAGAGCTCAGTGTAGTAATAGTGACTTGCCTTTGGAAATGAAGGTTGTATTATATCTTTTGAGTTTTGGAAGGTTGAATGAAATATATTTTCCCACAGAAACAATATTATAAGTGATGGTCGTGTTCCTTATCCATTCCACTAATTTCTACTTAACTCATATACCTTAAATTTATACTGGTAAAATGATATTGCAATTATAGGTCCCAAATAAATTTATGTTCTCTGTGGGGAAATTCATTATGCATTTCACATATGGATCCCTGGGGCTTATTTCTCTCATCATTTCTTCCTTTCTGCCCCTCACCAGCAGTGACATAGAACAGTTTCTGTAGGTTCCAGAAATTCACTTACTTTTTGTGGCTATGATAAAAGAATAACAATTATCTAGATTGGGAGATCCAATTGGAAGACAAAATGTTATTTTTTTAGTGTTGTTATGGTTGAAGTCTCCAAATTCAGGTTTGCTGCTGCCCATTCGAAGGATGAGTTGCAATGGTCATGAACATCCATAGCACCCAGGTGCTGGCCTTTAAAACCATTTTACACTTAAATGAACCAGTGCTCTTGGGGAAATGACTGATTCCAGAACTGGTGCAGAAAAAGTATAAGTTGAAGTCAGACATGCCAAAAACAAGCAGCCGATTTATCAAAAACTTCTTAGGTCATGTCTAAAGGATGCAAGAACCAATTTGTAAGGGTGATACCAAAGATGGAATGATTTTTTAAGACCTTTTATTTTGAAAAATTTCAAACATATGCAAAAGTCCAGAGAAACAAGAATTCTGTGATACCTGCATAGCTGTCTGTTAGAGATTTTTATGATAAAATTCTTGAGGTTGGGGAGAATGTTGATGGGAAAGAAAATGAGTAAGATTGGCAAATATTGGTAATTGTTGAAACTGGATGAATGGGGTTATGATATGATTTAGAAGTCAAGTGTTCCTAAATGAGGGACGAATAAGACTCTGTGACTAAATATATGTATGTATGGGTTAAATATAGTGATTTTTGTTGTTTTTTATTAGGTTGAAGAGAAAGTAAATGTTGAGGTAAATAGTGATTTCCTCTCCCACACACCAGTTTGTTAAGTTACTGGGTACTATTCAAGCATCCTGAATGCATACTACCTTAAAAAGTGTTCCTCATAAAATTGTTTCTTTAAAAGTTACTAAAGAGAGTTCTTTTAAACTGTTAATGCCAATTCATTATCAATTTCTCTCTCTAGGCACGCTTAAAAAGGCCTCTGAAGAGCCTTGACGGGGCCCTGTACGAAGACGATGATGATGACATAGAAAGAGCAAGCAAGTAAGTACTGGATTTTGTGGCCTGTTAAGTGCTGTGACATAACGGCAGATGTGTTAGGTTACGGATGATGTTTCAAAGGCTGTGCTCTTCCAGAGTGCAAATGAAAGCTCCCGTGCAGTGTTCTTCAGCAAAAGGAACCAATGCTTTTGGGAGTGTGGCGAGGGATAAGTCTTGGGACAGGGGAAGCAAGATAGGCTTGACATACTGTGTTGTTCTTGGAAAGCAGTAGCACTTACGGTGCATCCAAGCTTTTTTTTTTTTTATTAAAGGGGAAAGAGAAGTTGGCTGTGCTGCTGAAGAAGGGCGGATTTGAGATCAGGAACAGTGATAACAGTCCGTTGAACCATATGGGTTTGAATATATGGTTATATCAAAGAGCAAATCTAATACCAAGTGTTTAAAAAAACTCAATTTTGATATAAAATAAGGGTAAAAATAATAATATATGTTACTTCCTGACAATTTTAAGATTCATGAGGATAACAAAATAGAAAAATAGACATTCTTTTTCCCCATTATCTCTGTTTATACAAAAGAATATACATTCTTGTCTAAAATAAGTGAATAAATTATTAGTTAAAGGAAAACCATGTAAAACCATGAAAGTGAAGTTGAAGCTCTAGGAAACTTTCCAGTTGTTAAATCTAGTATTGCTAAGGTAAAGGCCTCCAATCCCACAGGATTAAGCTATGTGAAAAATCCCTGCTTCTGCTTCCAGATGGATAAGGCTCCATAAACATTTGTTTGTCTTTAATGGATATGCTCAACAGTTGTAGTATTTAAATTGGCAGGTACATCACTGTAAAGAATTTGGCCATGAACCTGTTAACTGATTTTATTGTTCCACTGAAATACCACTTTGGTTCCAAATTGTCTCATTAATGAACTGTGTTTGGGGAGAGGCAGCTTACGTACAGCATATGTGATTCTACAGCAACTATTGCGTATTTTTTCTTTGTTCAGGTTATCTTCTGAAGATGGTGAAGAAGCATCGACTTATTTTTATGAAAGTGATGACTCTGTTGAAACAAGAGTAAAGACTCCTTACTCAGGTGAAATGGACTTACTGGGAGAGATCCTTGATACGTTGAGTACACACAGCTCAGACCAAGGAAAGCTAGCAGCTGCAAGGAGCTTGGATTTCTTTAGATCAATGGATGATATTGATTACAAACCTACGGTTAGTTGTTTTTTTTTTCAATTTATAGAATTAAAAAAACTTTCTTGTCCTTCTTGTAGGAGCTCTGGTAGCTTAGTGCCTAAGGCACTTGACTGCTAACCAGAAGGCTGGTGGTTCAAACCCACCAGCCACTCCTCGGAAGGAAGATGGGGTAATCTACTTCCATAGTGATACTGCCTCAGAAACCCAAGGAGGGGTTGCTATGAGTCGGGTCCGACTCGACGGCACATAACAACAACAACAACAACAGCCCTTCTTGTGATTGCCTGATCTTATAACCTTGGTTGATGGAATTTTTTAACCTGTAATGGATAAATGCCAACACTTCAAAAACATGTAAAAAGTTAATTGCTAAGAATTATTTCTAGTAACAAAACTCCAATATTTTCTCTTTCATTTATCCAGTTCTGGTGGTTATTGTCATTAATTGAAATTCTTTTGTCAAGCTGTATTTTCTTGCAATCTAATTATATAGTTGTCTTCCTTAAGGAATTTAAAAAAAAAAAAAATCCAACTTTTTTTCTGTATTTCTAGAGTCTTCAAAAAGCATTTTAATAGCTATATTAATTAAAATTATTTTTCCATTTCATTGCTTCAAAAATGAACAATTGAATGCTTTGTGAACACAAGAGAGAGCACATAGGTAACGGCAGCCGTGTTCTTATTGTTGACTCTAGCACTTGGCATTAATTATGTTACCCACTTTGAATTTTCAGGTGACAATTACAAGGAGATAGGAACCAAAGTCCATCCTATTTCATTCCTGTTAACAGAGCCATTTGGAGGTGTTCAGAATTAACTGTCCGTGTTCTATTTACTATAGGAGGAACTTTAGGTTCCCAGCCTTGAAAAAGATTAACTTTAATTTCAAGCTGGAAAAGGAACATATCACTAAAGTAGTGCTATAATTTTATTTAAAATTTCTGAATTTGTTGTTTATTCTTTCAGAACAAATCCAATGCTCCTAGTGAGAATAATCTGGCCCTGTTTTGTGATGGTTCTGGTGATCAAGCAGAGTGGAATCTTGGTCAGGATGACAGTGCCCTTCATGGCAAGCATCTCCCTCCATCTCCTAGGAAGCGAGTTCCCTCTAGTGGTTTCACAGATTCACTGTTTATACTGAAAGAGGAAAACAGCGAAAAACCCCTCAGGGCTGACATTGTGAATGGCCCTGAGGTGGTGGAGAAGCCAATATCAGCTTCAGGACTGGATTTCCAGCCACCTCCTCCTGAAGTTTCCCAGACTGATGAAGGAAAAACAGAAAAGGAAGAAACGCTAAGCCAGGTTTCAGATGATCTGGTTATACCCAGCCTGGGGCGAAGCCCATCTACTTTTGTTCCTTGGGAAAAAGAAGGGAAGGAAGCCAAAGAGACTTCAGAAGATGTTGGACTGATTCATGAAGTAGTGTCTTTGTGTCACGTAACGTCTGCCTTCCAACAAGGTTTAAACATTTCAGAAGAAAGTAGAAGTGGAGACCAAGCTTAAATTAGCCACTTGCATCCAAGCTTTTATGGAGACATCTTAGGATTCCTTGTAAGCTGTGTAGTAAACAGAAGTATTTGTAAGAATACAACTCTTAATACTATTTAAGACTTATTTTTCCTTTGGAGCATACATTTCTACTTGTTCATTCATGGATATATGCTATCCATTGATTTTTAAATGTAAAGCTAATTCTTCTACAGCGCTCTTAAATCAGGTACTACTTTGTATGTATGTTGAAGGTATGTATTGACCATATGACTTTCCAGGACTTGGTGCTTAATGCCATTCATTTTATTTAAACAAAGTATGCATATATAACCCTTGAATATAGCCAGTAGCTGCTGTACTAATCTGGTTGAGCATGAACTGATCAAGTTATCAAAACTAGCCTGAAACTGTTGACCCACTAATTGCCTTAATCTTAATAAGCCTATATTAATTAAGTCTACTTAAATAATTTATGGAATTACATGTAAGTTTTTGAAAGGTAAGGTATTAGTGTTCTGCAGAGCAATAATGACTTTTTCTACTCTTGAACCAAGGGCAAAATTCATCTTTTGAAAGTTCAAAAGCTCTCTTGTGGAAATATTTAGTTTGTTTATTGAAGGACATTGCAGCCATGTTTTAAAAAAAAAAAAAATTATAAAGGTACACACTTACCTTTCACTCAGTGAAATATATGAAGTGCTGAATTACAATGTGAAGTTAATGGTTCTGTTTACAAATGAGACACTTTAAAATTTTTTCAGTCTCTCTGCCTTTGCTAACTAAGAGTCGACCTCCCACAAGCCAAATGCAACATCAACTGTCAGGATAAGAAAAGTCATGTCTTTTTCTTTTTCTTAACTAGTGATTCTCTATCAAAAAGCTTCATATCTTCATTTCAAATTCACTTTTAAAGAAGTACTTTATCTTCTTAGAAAATTCCCTTGTACAGAAAAACTAAAAAGATGACTCAGAGAGTTCCTATATTCCACATCTTCTCCCCCCAAAGTTTCCCCTATTAACGTCTTACGTTAGTATGGTACGTTTGTTAAAATTAATGAACCAGTATTTTTATATTATTTTAACTAAAGTTCATACTTTGTTCAGATTTCCTTAGTGTTACCTGTTGTCCTTTTCTGCTCTGGGGTCCTGTGGAGAATACTGCATTACATGCAATTGTCATGTCTTTTTAAACTCCTCTTGACTGGGACAATTTCTCAGACTTTCATTGTTTTTGATGACCTTGACAGTTTTGAGGAGTGCTGGTCAGGTATATTGTAGGATGCCCTGCTGCTGGAATTTCTCTAATGTTTTTCTTATGACTGGACTTGGCTTACGCATTTTTAGAAGGAAGATCACAAAGATGTAAAGTGCCATTTTCATCATATCAAGGGTACATGCTAACATGATTTATGAATGTTAATACTGACTTGGATAGCCTGCGTGAAGTAGTGTATTTCAGGTTTTTCCACTGTAAAATTGCTCTTTTTTTCCCCCTTCTTTACTGCACTCTTTGGAAGGAAGTCACTATGCACAGTCCACACTTAAGAAGTAGGGAGTTAAGCTTCCCCCTACCCCTACTTTATGACAGAGTATTTATTTAAATTATTTAGAATTCTGTACAGGAGATGTGTCTTCTCCCTCAAATTCACATTTAAACTTTAAATTTCATCTGAGAAGAAATCATGCATTGACTACTTCATGATAGACTAGATAAAAAATTGACAGATACAATTACAGGGGGGAAAAACAGTCGTATTATAGTTAATTTGTTACTGGTACATTGAATTGTATCTGTTCTATATGTTGCCAGTCATGGATGAATTTTTTTAAAACTTTTATTATTAGAAAAAATATTTGAGAGACCATTTGAGAGCCCCATGAGGACTACACTCTGAAACATAATTTTTAGTTTAAAAAGATCCTGGAAAGCAGTTTGTTAAAAACACTGCTTAAAAATATATATTGAGGTCAGTCTTTAAACCACTTAGAGAAAATTACCAAGTTGTTGTTTTTAATTACATTCCAAAATCTAAATGGATATTTATACTTGGGACAGTTGTTCATTCATGGTTTATAAAGGAAGACAAATCTTGTTTTCCTTGCAGGGATGGGTTTTGTTTATATATAGTAAGTAAAAAAGGGTTTAATCCTTATTTTTTTAAGACAGAAGAAGTAAAACTCATGGCTCTTGTCAAATTCTACTTTTACAACCTCATTACAAAATTCCATTTTACTTTATTGAAGTATATAATAAAGACCATATATGAGAAGAACTCTTAAATGAGAAGGAAAAAAATTCACTCTGGTAAATGGCTTAGTAAATATTTCTTCATAATTTGTGAAAAGAATGTACAGCAGCCTTTTCCTATGAATTTTGGAATGAGGTTTTTTTTTTTTGCTTCAGAATTGATAGTTTGAAGAATGTGATCTCTTGAGCGTCAGAGGCCATATTAGGATTTTAGTCCATTTGCTTAATAAACATCATGGCCTCAGAAATGCAAGGGTTTTTGTTTGTTTATATTTCAGTCCCCTTATAAGATGTTTGACTACACTGCTGTGTTGATTTGGGCATATTTAGTGACTAAGAAGTAACATATTTGTCTCAAGGTACTTTAAAGTGACTTGTGCCCTGTTTAACATACAAAATTAGCTGTTATTCTTAAAATCCAAAACAAAAACTCTGTTATTCTTGAAAAACTCCAGATCAATAGCAGTATTATTGACATTTTAAGCCATTAAGTATTTTGAGTATTCCAAGTCTGCCTTTAAACTAGCCTTCCCAGTATTACGGTGGATCATGAGAATGGAGTAAAATTAAGGTGAGTTCTAAAATGAACAAAAGTGTTATCTCATTTTCTACTGGGTTCATATTTTCAGTCACAACTAAATCAAATATTGGTAAGCTCCCAAGCTTTTTTTTTTTTTTTAAATTTTATTTTTTCCTCAAAGAAGCAATACCTGTTATACCCTAGAATTACGTAAGTAAATGGATTTGGCTTTGGTACCTAGTCTTTTATGTGGCTTCTAAAACTGAATTGTAATTCTCTCTGAATTCTACTGTAGCCTTTGCCCTTTTGTCATTAGATATTGCAACCATGGTATTTCCGGGGCATGGAGGAGTAGTGTGTGAGTTTAGGAATTGTCATTCTGTTAATTGTTAGGTTTTATATTTTGATGCCTACGTACCTACTTTAGCATATTTTAGAAAGGCATCAAAATATAGCATTTTTTTAAATTAAAAATTGTTGTTGTTGTTATGTGCCGTCGAGTCGGCCCCGACTCATAGCGACCCCTCCTTGGGTTTCCCAGGCAGTATCACTACGGAAGTAGGATTGCCCAACCTTCCTTCCGAGGAGTGGCTGGTGGGTTTGAACCGCCAGCCTTCTGCTTAGCAGTCAAGTGCTTTAGCCACTATGCTACCAGAGCTCCTATTATTAGTAACATTTATTTACAAAATATTTATCAAATCTTTGTAGCAGTCATATGCAAGGTATAGTAACTAAGAATGTTGGGGAATAAAAGAATTTAGTCCCCACTCTTAAAGGGAATTGCAAATCTTTTTTAAAATAATGATGAAAAACAATACTTTGCTTAGAAGTAATTACCCCAAATTCTAAACACCAAAAACCAGTAAAAGTTTTTTTATAGCTGCTTAACCTAAAGCAAGGAGCTCTGGTAGCGTAGTGCCTAAGGCACTTGACTGCTAACCAGAAGGCTGGCAGTTCAAACCCACCAGCCACTCCTTGGAAGGAAGGTTGGGCAATCTACTTCCATAGTGATACTGCCTCGGAAACCCAAGGAGGGGTCGCTGTGAGTCGGGTCCGACTCAACAGCACATAACAACAACAACAAACCTAAAGCATGCTCTAAGTACAGAACAATAGTATCATTTTTAATTTCTGTAACTTTCTTTCTCTATTACTATTCTAAGTGTAATAATGCTGCTACCTAAGGTACCCACTGTTACAGGACAGACTCAGAGACTTTTTTTAGAAAATGAATGTCATTGTCGGATTCTCTGTCACCATTCTGCTCCATCTTTTCACTAGAACGCACAGGCCTCTCTATAATGGAATGATGCTCCTTTCTAATATTTAGGACCACTTCACTCAGTTTGGGAATAACATGTGGGTGCAAGTTGATGGAAATCTAGCTTTTACCTTGATAAGAGCATGCTCCAGAAATCGCACCCCTCATCCTTTTTAAAATTAAGACAGTGTGACAGTGCTTTAGATTTTGTACAAATATTCTAATAATAGGAGCCAGGAATGCTGGTGAATTAGCTGTTTCATAAGTAAGGTGAAGAAGTAAACTCCTGATCAAGAGGAGAAAACTGTGAATATTCTCATAATCAGTAGACCTTCACCCTCTTCTAGAAATTTTCAATATTCAGGAGAAGATAATTTTCAGTAATAAATTCTCTAGTGCAAATTCCTTTTCATTTACCATAAAGGACTCTGATTCTGAGTAGATAACTGTAAGTCTGAATATAAATTTAAGAATGTAAAATGAATTCCCAAATCTAATCTCCCCAAAGCACTTACTACTATAAGAAATAGATGTCAGTATTGACAACTTTCCCATGTCAAATCCAGTAATATTGTTAGTGTATGTTTTGAGCAAACCAGGTCACATTTTGATTTGGTCAAGAAGTAGAGAATTACATGCACTTAGACAGAAGCATACTTTATTTTGAAAATAATAGGATTTTGTGCAATATTTTTTCTTATGTAATTTAATATAAATATGCAATCTTTTTCTGGCAAATGCCTTAAGGTCATGTTTTTCAGTATTTGTTTAAATGGACTAAAAACTGTTACTGCTTTTTGCTAGATATGCTAAGAGGTGTCTGTGAGAACCTACTGAGCATTGAGATTTGATTGATTGTTCTTGCATCCTTGAGGCTACAGTATAAATCATCTCCAACATTGACTACTATTGGGAGGACACTGTGCATAAAAGTATTGCTGTGGGAATTAATATATATATATATATATATATATATATATATATGGAAATAAATAATGGATGAACTCCACATTACCAGAAAGTGCCCC